CTGAAAACACTGGTGGGCGGAAGCGAACATGATTAACCTGACTGGCAGACTCAATGTATTTACAGATGAAGAAACGTTGTAAATAAATGCAAATGATATAAATTATCAACCTTTATCTTTACTTCCCGCACCACGAGACCAACGTTTACACATTGATATACAAATCAATGGCAATACATACAATGTACTAGTAGACTCAGGGGCACAACGCTCATGCATGGACAAAAGTGTAGTTTCAGAACTATACCTGTCTGTTAGAGTGTAACCTGGGTATATACAACTAGCACAAACAGATGCAAGAATACAACGCACTGGATCAACATAATTTTGTGACAATAACTATGGATGGATGAAGACCTCTCAGTGCTTTGAAGTATTGGACTTGCCAGACAAAAAGACAAATACTTCAAGGTATGGACATTTTACCATACATAGGTTTATACATAGCAGGGTTAATCAACACACTCATACCGACAGATGTAAAATGGGAATCACTTCTCACACCACATGAAGAAGACCAAGAGCATGAACAAGAAGGTTTCAGAGAGTCACTTACAGACCTCCTGAATACCATTGCGAATATACCTCCTGATGTTCACTGCAACCTACCAGGCTCCACAGTCACGGTACCTGCAAATAAAATCAACGTCAGACAAATGGGGCACGCTAAACTCAACTTTGTTCCGCACAAATACATTCCGCAAACGGACGAGAATGTGCAACGATGGCTTAAAGATGGCCAAATATACAAACGCGACAAGCCCACAACGGTAAACCTGCCGTTGTTATCAACAGGTGAACATGACCAAACGGGTCTATTTAAGAAAGTCAGGACATGTCTAGACTTACGGGAGATCGATCAGGACAATTTTGTGTTACCAAAAATAAAGGAAGTGTTGCACGACCTACAAGGTATTCAAGTCCGCGCCGTTTGGACTACACTCACTCACAGCACAATTCCAGAGAGTCATGGTGAATCTGCTCATAGATATCAAAGGAGTGCAAGTGTATATATATGACATAGTCATTGCGAGTCTTACAGAAAAAGAACACGGCAAACCAGTTCGTGAAGTAATCAAGCGACTGAATAGCGCAAACTTCCGACTCAATCACAACAAGTGTACCTTTGCGGTCAAAGTGGTCAACATTCTTGGGGTGAAAGTCACCATAAAGGGACTCAAAGCAGATCCTGAGAAACAGAAAAGAATATTGGATTGGCCACTACCCAGAACAAAAAGAGATCTGCACAAAGCAGTGGGATTAGCAAATTACATGCAAGACCATGTCCCCAACTTTGCTCACACAACGAAACACTTTCGGAACCTAATGAAGGGAAAAATGAAACAGAACATATCCATGTTATGGACACCGTAACTAATCAAGAAGTGGGAAGAACTCAAAGATGCCATCGCCTGTTCAGCGACGCTAGCATACCCTGTTGATGGGGTACCGTTTCAAATTATGAACGATGCTAGTGACTATGGCATAAGAGGGTGTTTATTTCAAGTCATCGATAGTGTTAGACGATACATTATTTACTTATCAAAAGGCTTGAACCCAGCACATCAACACTATGGCACAAATACCAAAGAACTACTAGCACTGGTATACAGCCTGGAACATTTATCCGAATACAGTAAAGAGGGGGGACATAACACTGTGGACAGATCACAAAGCGCTCACGCAAATGAACAGTCAACAGACTTTACACCCAATGCTAGCCAAATGGATAGCGTAAACGTTCCACCACCATTCTCCATCATACATGTCCCAGGCAAGGACAACCAGATGGCAGACATGTTGTCGCGTCTCTATGAAGATACCTTTAGTATTAAAGAGTCAAAAGTATTACAAAAAGCGAATGAGGCAACACACAATAGCCAAGAGTACACCACCTTGGAAACAAACATGTCCATAGTCATATCGGCTATAGTTTGGATGTTACATCCCAGATTCTATTAAGAGGCGGAACGAAGGTTTGGGAAGTTCACAGTAGACCTGTTTGCATTGGCACACAATGCGCACACAGATAAATATTACACCAAAGAACAGAATGCGCTACAACAAAAGTGGGCGCAGGAAGTTAATGCATGGGCGAATCCACCATGGGAACTTATACCTGATATCCTTGACAAAGTCATTGAAGAGGCAACCAGCATCACGATATGTGTACCATGTTACCCCAATGCCTCGTGGATTCTAAAGTTCTTGTCTTTAGTAGAAGAAGACCCGATGCTAGTGGAAAACACAAACAATACGTTCCTCAAAGAGGGCAAGAAGGCTTGCGGCAAGACCCAATGGGGTGTCGCATTAGTTGCAAAGATAGGAGCTAAGTCTCCATACTTCGATTCAACGCGGGAACAACCTGCAATACACGTTGCAGCGTCAGAACCAGTTCACTCTGGAGACGCACCACAGGCAACAGAATATGAGACACATGTCAACATCATTGAGAAATACCACAATTAGGGGCATTACACTCCTGAGGAAACAGTACACAAGTTGCAAACAGATGGCCATGATTGGGTTGATATCCAACAACATGTACACAAGTTCATTGACGGATGTATACCATGTCTCAAAAAAATAATTTTACACAAAAATGTATTTCACCCCTTACAATCAATCACAGCCGCGTATCCCGGCGACAGAGTCCAAGTGGACACCATAGGTCCACTATTGGATTCTAACAGAGGACAGAGGACACACAGATGTGTTAGTATGGCTTGATGTACACTCATCATATGTCATTTTGCGTCCAATGATGGAAAAATTAGCGGCTACCATAGCACGCACGCTGGTACCAATCATGTGTGAACATGGATTCCCACAAATCATACAGACCGACCAAGGCACTGAATATGTTAACAACATACTTTCAAAAGTTGTTGAACAAGTGCCAATGCAACACCTAGTCTCTCGGCCGTATCAACCTGAAGTTTTAAGTGCGAACGAACGATCACACAGAGACCTCATGCCACTGCTACGGAAATTCGTAGAACAGAATCCAGGTAACTGGTGTTCACGACTTCCATTCGTACAGATGGGCCACAATCTGCATACATCCAGAAGACACAAGTCCCCGCGCTTTAATATGTACTTTGGTCGCAGACAGAATCAACTCACGGACTACAATGAGCCAGTGACCGTATCCAGTAGAACAGTATCTTGGGAAGAACGACTGCAACATCTATAAGAAACCATCAGGCCACAACTAAATAGCAACGTTGCACAGTATCAAGAGAAGATGCGCGCAGCATACGATCGAAAATACTAAAAGAAGTATGTAAACTTCCAGGAAGGGGACCTTGTCATGGTTCGCTATCAAGGTGAAATGAACAAGTTAACAGCACCAAATGGCGGACCATACAAAATGGTATGCAGGGAGGGCAACAGGTATTTTGTCTGTAACCTTAATGGGACTAAAGCCCCCGAATATCCTGACTCGATCACTAATGAGCTACTTGGCCTCGTTAAAAGGGCCAGTGCTCCGGAAGCATTTATTTCCAACAATCACGTACAACCAAAAGAAGAGGCTCAGTTCTCTTCGATAGTTGACAACAGGCCGTCCATCCGAGGTGATGGATCCCAGGAGTACCTACTGCAATGGACATATGGTGAGCGTACCTGGACGCATGAATCAGACATCGCAGATGCTGATGTCTTTACAACATACCGTCAACGCCGGAGACGTAAAAGAACGCAGTCCAGGCCAAAGAAGCCAGCGACAACGAGCACTGATGAAAGATCAGCGATCCACAGACAGCGCACGAGGCGGGGGACCTAAGCAAGTCTCACTGATACCACAGGACACTCCCACCTTTCTCGCCTAGAAGCATGCTCCCCCCCACACACCAGAAGGACAAGGACCAGAGCCTCAGCTGTAGAGCCACCGTTGAGATGCGTTTTCCTGAGCCAGGTTGAGATCAGCCGAGAGCACCGGTCAAGACTGACTCCGATGAGCGTGTTAGAGAACTCCTGCTATAGTATAAATTTAATTAATCGGTAATATGTAATAGATAATGGTGGCAGGTTTTTCATCTTATGCCCCCTAAGGGACAAGTCTTTCCCTGTATACAAACACCAACCTCTAGATAATCTAGTACTGTAAGATGTCACTTTCTACTCCTACGCAGGCTACGAAGCACAGAGTTGGGGGGCAGTAGCATCTAGGGACCAGATTATCAAAAAGCCAATCCAAATCCCAAAACCCAAAATAATTAAATACTGAGTTTTGGAATTAGGATTGGAATATTTATGATATTAGTCATTAGAAATATTAGCGGTAGAAAGACTCAGTTCGGCTCTCTCAGACTAGGGACTTTTCCTAGCTGAGATAACTGTACTTGAGAAGAGGTCCATTATATCTTATTGTGTAGTACCTTTCAGCTACTCTCCATACTCTACATCAATGAGAGACTCGGCGAAGTATAGTGGTGCTGTGGGCCCATCTTGGTATATTGCACTCTGTATGCGATAGTGTTCTGTGACTGTGTTTGTGTCCGCTTTATTTGGAATATATGTTTCCTTGGAATTTTGCTTTTTGAGTTCTGTAGGACTATATTGTGTCCGTATAAGTATACTTATCAGTGTCCTTGGGAACATTTCGTATTTATATCGTAGCTAGTGCTAATATCGCCTCGAGGGACCCCGTGGCTTCACTTAGACACGCATGCTGTATCATTGTGGCCCCCTTTGCCGCATTTGGAGCATGATAGTGTAGAACGGCCGATGGGGCATTTATTTCCCTTATGGTCAGCTGAACCGCAACGACGACAGATTGAATCAGAGAATCCGAAGATGATGTGTCCTGCTTTGCCACATATAGAACAGTTGGGACGTTCGCGTCGTTAGGTGAAATTATTCTGGTTACCATTACTGGCATCATTGTTTGTGGATTTTTCACTGCGTTCGGCAGGGAATTTAATAGACATTAGACCGGATGCCGGTGTTGAAGAATCGAGCTGAATATCACCTGCAAACTTGAGTACCTTTTTATAGATCTCGTTGATCGTGAGGGCATCCAGATCGTGATCGAATATGTCCACACGGAGTATGTTGTAGTTGTCGTCGAGACTATAGAGTAGGGCACAAATTAGATACTTGTCTGGGATGTTCTCACCGATGTCGACCAAGTGTTGGCAAATCTCCTCCAAAGTTTGTAGCGTTGTATCAGGCGAGCCCGTTGACTTAAGCTGGTTAGGTTCTGCAGTGCGCCTTAGAATCTTCCATAACTGCCAGTATTGGTGGTGACACAAATGTGATCGAAGAGTCTGGGATGTTCTCACCGACGTCGACCAAGTGTTGGCGAATCTCCTCCAAAGTTTGTAGCGTTGTATCAGGCGAGCCCGTTGACTTAAGCTGGTTAGGTTCTGCAGTACGCCTTAGAATCTTCCATGACTGCCAGTATTGGTGGTGACACATATGTGATCGAGGAAGACGTGTGGTGCTTTTATCATGTAATTTTTGTACACGGAGTTGAGCAGGGGTTCGCTGATAGAATGTATGAGTATACGACGACATTTCGAGTCTGCTGCTGGGTCTGATCCTCCTCCTGCGCAGCGTTCGTTGCACATTGGATGACAGCGATGAAGTACACCAAAGTGTTCTAACTCATGCGTAAACCAGTGATCCAGTTGCCGAAGTTTCGCCAACCCTCAAGTTACCCACCATTGTAAACATCTTTGTATTTTGGTGTATCCCGAACATCGAGTGCAAGCTTTATGAGAGTGATGCCATATCTCTCAGCAATATGTTTAGGAGCTCTGTTGGCTATGTTGAGATTGTTAATTTGGTCGTTGGCCTCATTGAGCGCCGAACGTAAGCCATCCGCTTCACCTTGCAGTTCAGCAGCACGGAGATTATGTTTCTGGTCTGTGCCTATATATGTCTCTGCTTCGCGGAGTTGAGCCCGTGTACTATTGAGTTCAGCTTCGCATTTTGCGAATTTCTCCTTTGTACTAGATTGGCGCACGTTTAGTATCACGTTCTTCATTGAGCGCGTACTCTTCGTCTACTAATCCTTGTTTGTACTTTCTGGTCTCGTCTTCGTTTGCGTCTGCACGAACTCGAATAAGGGCGATTGTTGCTCTTGCGCAGGATAAGTGTGCTAGGAGACGACCAGTTGATACTGGTATGCCGAGTGGGTTGTACCCGAACTCCTGATATAGGTTATGAATGCTGTGTAGTGATCTATTATATTTGTCGAGAGCCTCGTATCGTGGATAACCTGGCCAATTTCTGGCAGCAAACTCGTGTGCATCTTTAAGAGACGGGTAGGAGGCGGGGATGGTAATGATTTATATAGTACCCGTGATGATATGTTATTGTATGTATACGCGTGATTTTGGTAACTTGCGATCAAGAATGTCGTCGATGGTCTCTGAATACGTCGCATGTAATATATTTACTATACTTGCGTTATGTATTTGTTAGGTTATCTATAATTTAACCGAAGTCCATAACCTGTTTCAACATATAGAACCATACTATACTGAGTAGAGAATGACTCTATTTACACCTCTACGGAGGGTTTTATATGTACATCTCCTATGCATATGTAGTCACACGTAAGTCATAAATGCATGACCTATTTTGGTGAACTTATTTGACACCTCATGACACCTGTCATTTGACCATCCTCCTCTGTGCACCGAACTGTACTTGTATCTGAGCAGAATGATGCCAGTGCTGATTTTGTCCAAACAATTTCACCGCTTACGTTGTGGACCCAAAGTACCCTGAGATGGCACTTCTTCGATCGTTGG